CACCACCTTTTCTGCTACCCAAAAGTAAAGCAATGAACCACACGCCAAGCCTGGACTTGGTTAGACTTGTACTGACACTTTTGACTTAAAAATAAATTCTGATTCCTTCAACCTGGCTTTCAACAATGTCTTTAGGAGAAATTCTGCTGCAACATCATTAGACGTTTTTCTAGATGTGCTTACCCTTTTTTAGGTCTTAATTATAACTGCTGCCTGATCTGTAAATGGAAGGAATTTTAACATACACAGCTCATAGGATACAAACGGAAAAATTGTCTTAGTGTTACTTGGGATCAATGTAATTATAACCCACATTCTCTGGTCTTTATTTTTATAGTCACATTCATAATTAGAAGATTATAGTGGAAATATAGTTGGAATAAGAATGGAAAGATCATAGTCCTGGTTTCTAGTTTTATGTCGCACGCTAATTAGCTATACACCTTGGGAAAATCAAATCCTCTTTCAGAGTTCACACTTTCTCATCTGTGAAATGAAAGCAATTATGCACACACACAACACACACATATGTGTTTCTTTTTTGTCTATTTTTTAAAACAGAGATTTGATGAATTTTTATCTATAAAAGTTTTAACTATACACTTATCGAACTATTATAAAATCTAAAATAGTGTATAAAAAAATAAAATCACCTGTTCTATTATAAAGACATGTATGCTTAATATTTTGTATTTCTCTGTAGTATGACTTTATTGGCTAGAAATTGCAAGCTATAACTTTGCAAAATTGTTTAATTTTATATTTCTTTCTAGTAAAGTAATACATTGATTTAGTTTTTAAATGTAAATAGTACTGTAGACTCACAAAGAAAATGAATATTTTTCTGCTGTAATTTATCTCACACAACATTATGACCCAGTTCCATTTCTTGAGATAATACTTTTCAATTCTTCCAGCATTTTGTTTCAGATATTTGTGACATAGTTTCAAAATTAATTCTTTTACTACTATTTGATTTTTCCTTTAAATTATTAATTGGCTTTCCACAGTATGAGAGTAGAACTTAGGGTGATTCCTGTCCATAAGTACTTTCCCTTTGCCTAGCTTATCAACGTGAGTAACTTAAACTTAAAAAGTATTAATTGAACAATTTTAATTGATTTAAACAACAAATTATTTACATTATTCATAGCTTAACCACTTTTGAACAATGTCAATTATTTACAATATTTGTAGCTTAGCTACTTCTTTAAGTTATCCAACTTTTTTACGGGTGTGATAATAACCTTTTTCCCTCCCTTTTTTAATTTTCTGTTTATCACTAACTAGTTCTACACATTTCTGTTATTTTTTTCTTTAGTCATTCTTCTGCTCTCCTGGATGCTCTGCTGTCATGTTCTGATTGGAATGGCTCTTCCCCACGTCCTGCGAGCTACCTCCCTGCAGGCTGACATCATTATCATTGTCTGGGTCCTCTTAACTTCCCTTGGCTCTAATTGGGAAGCATTTCTGAATTGCTGCAGCATGGACTTGCTTGATCAAGACACTTAGCAAAGTAGAAAAAGTCCGTTATGATCATTGACCCCTATCGATTATGACAACCATCTGTATCCATCTGTAGCTTTCCAGCTTCTGAAATCTTATTAACTTTCTCTTTACCATCATCTTCTTACTATTCTCTTTCTTCTTGTGAATGAAAAACACTTATGTTCCTTCACTGCATTCTTGGTGGATTTCAGAAGGTAGTAGATGTTTGCATTCTATCATGTGTTAACTTGATGTCACAAAATGGTTATGAGAGTAAAATCTGATGGACAGTCTATACAAAAGTAGTTTGTGCACCATAAAGCCCTCCACATGCAGCAGAGATTATTATAGTACATTAACACAGATTTCTTCAAGACCTTTTCCATCAGGAGGTACCAGTGAGATTATGCTAACAGCGTTAAGTCAATTGTCACTGGCTTTTACTCAGGCTCACTTTCAAAGGTCTCATCCCATCAAATACTCATCCAGTTAGTTGGGGGGAATTCCAAGAAGTAGGAAATATCACTTATGGAAATAGTTTAAATATATACTACATACCATGCAAGCTGCTTTAAACACTTGGACGTAAAGCAGTGAATAAGACAATAATTCCTCCTTGCTTGGATTTACATTCTAGCAGGAGAAAACAAACATCAGACTATAAATAGAATTCAGCTGCATGTAGACTATAGTCTGCATCAGACTATAATAGAATTCAGCTGGGTGTTGTGGTGGGCACCTGTAGTCCCAGCTACTTGGGAGGCTGAGGCAAGAGAATCACTTGAACCCAAGAGTTTGAGGTTGCTGCAAGCTGTGACACCACGGCACTCTACCCAGGATGACATAGTGAGACTCTGTCTCAAAAAAAAAAAAAAAAAAAGAATTCAGCTGCATGGTATGGTAACAGATAGTATAGAATAAAGGAAAAGTATGTCTGGGATATGGTGGTTCGGAATACCAGTGTTGGAGAGGCTTTAATTTAAACTAAAATAATCAGAATGGGTGTCATTGAGACAGCAACTTTTGGACAGAGATTTATAAGATGTGAGAGGTGAAGCTCTGTGGATATCAGGCAAAAGAGTATTGAAGACAAAGGAACTGAGGATAGAGGTAGTGTAATACCTGGTAAGTGAGCACAGTGTTCCTAGAGCAAATGAGTAAAAGCAAGAATCATCAGAAAGGAGACTCAAGAGTGACATAGATCATCTAGGGCTATGTGACAAGGACTGGAGCACATCTGACTGAGGTGGAGTGCCTAACAGAGTTTAGTTCAGGGATGCAAGGCACCTTGTGTTGTAAAAAGATTACATGTCAAAAGATGCAGCACATCATATGTCATTGGGGAACTGCAAATCGAAAAAATATATATGACATCCACCTACTAGAATGGCCGAAACCAGAATACTGACATCACCAAGTTCTGGGAAGCACGCAGAGCAGTGGGAACTCCCATTCATTGCTCCTGGAAATGCAAAATGGTGCAGCCGCGTTGGAAGACAGAAATTTTTACCAATCTAAACACATGATTCAAGAAGGTGCTTTTGGTATTTACCCAATAGAGTTAAAAACTTATATCCACACAAAAACCTGCACAACCTGCTGGATGTTGACAGCAGCTTTATTCATAATTGCCAAAACATGGAAGCAACCAAGATGTACTTCGGTAGGTGAAGGGATAAACAAACATACAGACAATGAAATTTTATTCTGGGCTGAAAAGAAATAAGCTATCAGGCCTTGCAAAGACACAGAGGAAACTTGTAAGCACATTACTACATTAAAGAGGATAATCTGAAAACGATACATACTGTATTCCTTCAACTACATCACATTCTGAAGAAGGCAAAGACAATGGAGATGGTAAAGATATCAGTGGTTGCCAGGAGATAGAGGGGAGCAAAGAATGGACACTCTGAGCACAGAAGACATTTTAGGGCATTGAAACGACTCTGTATGATACTAAAGTGGGGAAGGCTTGCCATTATGGAATTGTTAAATCCATAAAATGGACAACACCAACAGTGAACCTTAATATAAACGAGAGACTTTGAGTGACCATGATGGGTCAATGTGGGCTCATCAGAGGTAACAAAAGTAGCACTCTAGCAGGGGATGTCGACAATGAGAAAGACCATATCTGTGTGGGGGATGGAGTATATGGGAAATCTCTGTGCCTTCTTCTCAATTTTGCTGTGGACTTAAACCTACTCTATAGTAGTCTATTACAAAAAGATTACTCTGATTATTGTGTCGCAAATAACGCGCAAGAGGGCAAAGGCCATAGCAAATAGATGAGTCTAGCTGCTCAGAGGTCATTAGATGCATGTGATAAGTAGGAACTATTTAGAATCCAAACTTCATTTAAGGTAGTGTCCACAAGATTTTTGACAAAATGTATGGAGGAAATAACACAAAGAGAGGACTCAAAGATGGCTTTAAGTTTTTCGGCCTGAGCAATAGGGAGGTTGCAGTTACCATGAACTGAGATGGGAAAGGTTTGGATAAAACAGATTTTGGAAAATAAGATGAGGAGATAAGTTTGGTCAAGTTACACTTTAGGTGTTTACTGACAACCAATGGGAAATGTCAACGGTTTTATTCAACAAAGTTTAGCTGAAGACCATGTGGGATCTGCTGGGGATTTCTTCTCCTGCCCAACTGCTGATGGATGATGGATGCTAACAAAACGCCACTTGAAGATCTCACTGCTACTTCTGCAGTCCGAGTCTTCCATGAGAACGCTGACATCAATAACAAAGTTATTATTATGATGTTGCAATAAATGCCAAACCTTGAGGCACCAAGGCTGTGGGCTCTGCTGCTCACATTCACCAGGGTAAATTGGGACCTCTTTCTCTCCTGGTATTGGCCATACTCACACTCCATGTCTTAAGCAATCTCCTTCAGCTTCTATCTAACATTTCTCCTTCCTCAGGCTGAGGCATAAAACTTCTTAACCCGAGACTTGTAATCTTTCCTTTTCATTTATCTTTCACTCTTCAACTCCAAACTTTGCTTATTCCTTCTATCTCTCATCAACCTAATTCAAATATTCTTTCTGGTTCTAGGTCTAAACACATCTGAATCTCTGCTTGAACAATTGTTAAATTATAATAATTCGTTTGGACTCCATAGTAGAGAGACATCAGATTAAGATGGAAATATTGAGGCAAAGAATGGCGTGGTATGCTCTGCCATGGAATCTTACATGTGATGGAGACTAGTTCTGGCACCTAATTACTGCCTATCTGGGTACTAATGGAGATACTTTAACTTGATTATGTAGAATAAAATGATACCGCAGCTGTGATACACCCAGAGTTCCCCTGACTCACTGTTTAAACATCTCCATGATCAAAAGCGTTTCCCAACACCCGTCCTTTTGTCTCTTTGTCTTTTTTCAGAATATAATAATAGATCTCTGGGAATTTTCACTAAATGAAATAATTATTCCTAAACTTGATGTTTTGGAATTACTAATGTTTCTGATCATTTAAATTGATGATCCAGATCTAAAATTGACTTGTTTTTATAATTTCTTCATAGGAAGGTGGGGGGTTCAATGTGCCAAAACATGGAACAGGATACAGTTCAGGGTTTGGGGTTTGAAGGCAAATTCCAACAGTTGGACTCACAGCTGCTTCTGTCCCTGGAAAAAGAAAGATGGAGATTTGTAATCTTTCTAGTGAGTATGAAACAGAAGTACATGAACTGCCTGATAAAATCTGACACTTCATGGATCACTAGAGCAACAAAAAATTGTTTATACCCATGAGAAAAAAATGACAGCCATCTTGCTCTCTGCAGTGAAAGTTTAGTCACTATTGTACGAAAACGCGCTTGCATGAACTGATTATGTCATCACTGACTAATCCATCAAGAATAATGTATAATTAGCAACTGAGAGCAGAAGGAATATCTTCTTTGTAGGTCACAAAACAGAATTTCTCTAAATAGTAATGACATTTCAGCTAATGATCCCATCATGAGGAACGCAGTCCCACTAGAAATATTAAGAAGTCACTTATAAACTTCATCATCTTACATTTATGCCTGCAAATTGCAACTGACACAAATAATTAATTATTTCCCTATAATGAATAGTAAAAACATTACAATAAAGGGTGAAAAGTCTGCATTTAAAGTGTGCACACACGATGAAGGGAAAGCATTCTAAAATTTTTTTCAAATGTTTTGAAATAAAGTTCTTGACTTCTAGACTATGCATGGTATAAGGCATTAAATATTCAAATAAGCCCATTTTTCTACAAACTGCTCATGTTACGAGGCCATGAACAGATTCTAATAGCTCATTAGAAAATGTTCTATTAATATTTCCTTAAAAGATTGTTTTTGAGTCATACAAAAAATAGTAATATTTTATAACCATCTGTCTTTTATAGGTTATACATGTAAACATATATATGTACTTGTATGTTGTAAGAAAATGTGCTTGCATGAACTTCTTATGTCATCATGGACTAATCCACCAAGAATAATGTACAATTAGCTACTGAAACCAGAAAGAATGCCTTCTTTTGTAGGTCACAAAACAGAATTTCTCTAAAGACTAATGACATTTCAGCTAATGATCCTGTTGTGAGAAATGCAGTCTCACTAGAAATATTAAAAAGTCACTTTATAAACGTCATCATTTTACATTTATGCCTGCAAAAGACAGGGTCTTACCTGTCTTTCAATGGTTTTTGACTGCTTCTTGCCAATACGATAGTAATAACTATAAATTCACCTTTAAAAAATAGACCCTTGAACTAAATCTGTCCCTTCGAATATTTTTGTGTATTAAATTTTAGGATAAAATCACATCATTCATTGACATATCGTCTGTGGCTGCTTTTGTATAACAAAGGCAGAGGTGAGTAGACCATATGGCTTGCAAAGCCAAAAAATATTTTGATACCATAGAGAAGATTCCAAATACATGCCACAATTATCAAAAGAATTTACAGAGTAATTACACATAAGGCATTAGTTGCATCACTGAAACCCAAGGTTACTCAACTTTCAGTGCATAATGTTAGTTTAGAATTACGAATTTTCAGACATTTATATATTTTTATTTGTCTTATGTCTTTATCTTATTGTTTTCAGGAAAAAAGAATACAAATTCACCTATGTTAAGAGTAGAAATATACTTAACATGTAAGTCTCACCTCCTGGGGTAGCATTTTTCTTAAGTAGTTGTTTAATTAATTGAACCATCTACTCCTAGGCGATTACATAATATTTCTTTATCTCAGTTTTTTCCTATGTGATAAAAGGATAATGTTAGTATTTCTCTAACAAGCAAGACTGAAGGAGTATATAGTGCTCAAAACATGACCTGCCACACAGTAATTACTCATTTAATGTTTACTCTTCTTATTAATATTGTTATTACATTTAGAATTGTACTATGCTAGGAATATGAACGTATTTTCTTTATTTATAATATTTCCTCCAGTATATCCTATTTTAATGATTAGAAAATGATTTAATAATTATCCATATTATAATAGTTATAATACAAATTACTAAATGAAAAATATTGTATAGTTAGAATTTCTTACAGGTTTTAAGTTTAGGCTGATGTCAACTAACTATGTGGGACTTGACATTGGTAAAATATACAACTCACCCCAGTAATTCCCTCCATAGAACGCTTGTACTAAATGCTGGCTGTTTTCTTGTTGAACTGCTTTTGGAGTATCCAGTACAAAGTCAAACCTAACACAGCTATGGAAACAATGAACCAGACTGACTCAAAACATCTCTTATTTGTACTATCTCCAATTTGTTAGTGCTGCTGCCACCATCAACACTGTGCTGCAGGTGATAGGATCTTGACAATCGCTCTCTGTGGTGGGAATGTTTTGTTATCTCCTTTACCAATGTGACCATTGCTCTTAAATCTGTGATGGAAACCACAGGCCATGCTTGTGTTAAAAATAACTAAGCCAAAATGTTCAGAAAGCTCTTAAAAATAAAAAATATATAAATTTAATTTTTTTCAAAGCATATTTACCTATGATATCAAGGGATTTATTGGGGGACAGTAGGAATTATTTTATCTGTTAACAAATTAAGAAGCTGCTCAGTTGAAAATAATGGGAAAAATGTTATAATTTTACTGGAACTTCTGGCTAAGATGTCAGAGTTTATTGTTTAATTTTATAGAATCCGTATACTCACCATTGAGTTTTATAGTGAAAGTTCATATTTCCTACATTATTAAGAATCACTCAAATAGACTAGACAAGCGCTTTCCACTGTTTTCTTTTCTCTTTCTTCTTTATCTCCCCCTTTTTCTCTTATGGGAAAGAGCTGAATTTGAGTCAGAGTATCACTATCTAGCAACTTTGTTCCTTAATCCACATGTGTCTTCATGTCCTCCTCTGTGACGTGTTGAGAATGACAGTGAATCCTTCATATACTTGTGGGGAAGAATGAATGGGGTGAAAGGCATCAAGAGTTAACAAGGTCATGGCTCACAGTGAATGCTTAATGAACATGACCTGCCACACCTCCTTCCATGAAGGTCTGTGAATGAAACACTCCCACTTTTATTACCTACAGTATGTCACAGATATAAAACATGGGCAGATGACATTTCTAAAGGATCCTAGTATAAATATAGAACCCTGGGAGACACAGGGAGAAGGAGCAGAGCGTGGAAAGCCCTGCTTCTTGTTCTCCCCCCTCCAGTTCTCCTTTTCCTTCCAGCTCAGAGCACTTACACTTAATCACTGCTGGACAACTGGTATTTCTATTTTCCCTGAAATAAGAAAAAGGGAAGATTATCTTTGAAATTGCAGAATGTGTGTGAGATTGTACAGTTAAGGGCAGTGTTACCCGGCAATTAGCCCCAAATAGAATCTAAGCCAAGAAGATGTCCCCAGGAAGGCTGTCTCCTCAGGCCGTCCTTTATGCTGTCTCCTCAAGAAACACCTGGGCATTGTTAAGGAACCTTGTCAGGGCTGAGGGGACCCACCTTCAATCCACAAAGGCATATGGATGTGATAAAGGCAAAGGGACCCTAATGTTACAGTAATTTATTATTTTTTATTATAAACATGGACAATGGTTGGTGGAGGCCCTTCTCTTAAGCTTTCAGTTTCTCTAGTCTAACACACATTAGTTTGTTTTTCTGCCTCAGTCCTCACTTGTCATTCTCTTGCCACCCAAAACCCAAACTTCTTTCCCTTTCTTATCTTTGAATGTCTTACTTCACCATTAATATGGGCTTCACCATCTTATTTTTAACAAAACCTTACTTTTGTTCTTATTTTTAGGGAATTAAAATGAAAATAACATTTAGTTTTTAATAAACTTTAAAATTCCTTTGACATTACCTACATTTCAAATGCAAATTAAAAAATCAAAACAACCTAAGAAACAAAATCCTTTCCCTTTATTTTCTCTCTTAAATCATTTTTAATTTCTACGTATTTCACCCTGTCATAGTTACAGTCCTTGATTTGAAAAAGTAGAGAGCAATGCTAACAAATAATAGAGATTCAGGAGATAGATCATTAAATAAGAATATTAACAATTTTTCTTTTTTTCTACTCTTTACTAAAAATTTGCACACATTTCTTTAAATGAAATAGTTTTCTATGACACGCTGTGTGTTCTCATTTTTCCTTTTGATATTTGGAGGAGAAGGGGGAAATGTGTTACAAATCTTCTGTGTGAAGTGAGAAAACATTGACCAAAAAAAATCATTTTTACCTTTAACACAAGTGCTAAAAAAATGATAATGGTAGAATTCCTAGTTTCTCATGGTTGTTGTTCTAAGAAACTGCATCGTGGATGATCTCATTCAAGAATTATAGGGCAGAGAATGGACACTATTGGGGGTTGTAGCAGGAATGGGAAGGGAGAACCATAGCCATTCATCAAGGGAGTTCAGAAAGAATAATAAGGAAAAAATAAGATGAGGCAACTCTGGAGCTGAGTCCAGGAAAAGGAGGTAGGCCTGAAGCTAAGTAAATAAATAGAATGACTTTAAGTTCTATATAAGATACATACACTTAAATTTAACCCTTCATTTGCACCAGAATGTTCATTGCTGCTCAATTCACAATCACCAAGATGTAGACGCCATACAAGTGCCCATCAGCCATGAATGGATTAACAAACTGTGGCATATGTCCACCATGGAGTACTATTCAGCCGTAAAATGATGGAGACTTTACATCTTTTGTAGTTACCTGGATGGAGTTGAAGAACATTCTTAGTAAAGTGTATCAAGAATGGAAAAAAAAGTATCCGATGTACTCATTCCTGATATAAAACCAGTATGTTAACAACTACACACCCAGGAGAAAGAAAACCACAAGAAACCCCCTCCAATGAGGGAGAGAGGGCAGAAGCAAGAGGGGAGAGAGGAGGAGGGAGGGTGACGGGCGGGTTCTCACCTGCTGTGCACAATGTGAGGGTGTCCAGCTCCCCTGCTGGGGGAAGGGCTCAACTACAACTTGAACTTCACCTTAGAAATGAAAACAATCTAATGAAACATTTGTATCCTCATATTAACCTGAAAATAAAACCAAACCAACCAAACAAACAAACAAAAAAATGAGTCCTTATAATATCTACAAGTTTTTTCTGTTCTTGGTCCTTTTCTTGCTCCTCATCTTCCTCCTT